GAAAAGAAAGAGGAAGGAAAAAGGAATGGATAATATCTTTAGTAGAAGATGTATTTAAAAAGGAAATTAAGGAGGGTAGTTCAAGTTGGTGGAGCTTTCTTTGAATTAGTTAGACTAATTGTTCTAGTCATCTGACTAGTGCGACAGGTCGCACCTAGGTACTCTAGAAGCAGCCGGGTGAGGTCAAACTTAGAAATTAGGTAGATTTTTTTTAATCAAATGTAACTTGGCTACGGCTCTAGTTAACAACTTAATAAAGTTTATGACGTGACTATCAAAGGAAAAAAAAAAAAAAAAAAAAAAAAAAAAAAAAATTGGAAACTATAATATTTCAAACTACTTCAGAAGAAAAACTGCTATACAATTGTTAAAAGAGTTTAGATATTTTAATTTAGTTATGATATTAATTATGAGACACAAATCTCAAAAAAGTCTTATTACATATAAATATTTAAAATTAGTAATGCAACATAAAGGTTTCAATAGATTTTTTAATATGTTAAAACAAGTTTCAAAAGGTAAAATTTATATATATTTGTTTAGTTATAATTTTACATATTTTTCTAATATAGATTTTTTTTGTATATATGAAGTTTCTAGTAACTATAATAATAGTAAAGTCTCTAGTAACTCTAAAGTCTCTAAGAACTATAATAAGATAAAAGATCATCAAAAATTAGTTTTAGTAAATAGTAATTTTAAACTAGCAAGTTTGTATATTAAACAAGTTAATTCCTAGTTATTACTAGTAAATATACTTGATAATCTTAAAATATTTTCTAGTAAATCAAGTTATGTACTTGCAAAATATGATCAGAATATTTGTGAGAAAAGTAGTCAAAATGAAAAGCCTAAAGATGCTAAAAAAGATTTAAATAAAGATTTTATTGAAAAATTTTTAAACAGAAATATATTTAATAATTGTATTTTTAATTTTTAGAATTTTAAAATATATTTAGATTGATAATTTGTGTAATTTTATTTTTAAACATATGTTTATTTTCTTGAATTATCAAATTATGAAAATTTTATTTGCATATAATCCAAATAATGTTTTTTTGTCAAATAATATTAATTCAATTTTGATATTTGTATAAAATTCAAATATCCAGTATTATATCATAACATGTTAAAAAATAATATACAAAAACTACATCATGATTATATAAGTTTGTTAGATAAGATCATTTTCAAGGCAAAGACCTCATATCTCAAAAATTCACTTATGAAACCACCTTCGATGTATTAACAAAAAAAATTTCTTGCTAAATTTTACATATATTCTAATATCTAGATAAAATT